GTTTCTGTTGTGAGTAGGCGCCATGTTGGAGTACATTTGTACGTTGTACGTTTGTTAAACATACAACATGGTCGCAGGGGGATTTAAACCATTACATTACATTACGTCAACGAAGAGCATTTATATTGGCTTTTAAAGTACATATCATTCCTACTTGATGACAAAAATATAATAAAGGCGACCTGGAATGACATGTTTTAATTAAGTTCTTTTATTACAATACGAGACACCAAAACATTGCCTTGAGCAATGTGTGCCTTGCTGATATTAACCATAGGCGTAAAATGAGTCCCGTTGTGAATAAGAGGGCCTAATGAATGCAAAGACTGTATTACCTAAAAGCGAGGGGCATACATCAAAATGCCATTCACATGAAAAATAGGTTTGATTTTAATATTGTAATATATATCATGACTTTAAAATTACTTTTTGTGAGGTTAAAAAGTTTGCAATGTTTTATGACATGGAGACACGCCAGACTTTAGACATCTAAAATCAATAAAAAAATATCTCTTTACTGCGTTGACTGATGTGACCAAGTAGGAGAAAGATAGCAAAACTTCCGTGATAGCAAAACTTCGTGCTCTATTCAGCTTTTGCATAATATTTATAAAGGTGCACGGGACTGCAGGACACGCATAAAACATTTGTACCACTAAAAGTGCATTGTGCCATAAAACAATGCGCTTTTGACAGTTGCTTAGTTGAACCAGACACTCAGCAGACGAGGCGATGTACTAATAAGTAAAGAATGATGTTTCACCGGTGCAGGCAATTTCCCCAGCCACCATCCATCTATGCTACCTTCGGAAGGCAAGCCATCCATTAAACCCAGGGGAGAAGACGAAGGCAAAACCAAGGTGTATTAGCACGCAGGTAAGGCCACAGCAAGTATATCAGGATGACATCCTCTTCAGACTCCAGATCTAATGCGATAGGGCAAAAAAAGGAGGGCCCAAAAACAAGATTTCTATATTTTCAAATTTTGAGACCAAAAACCTTGTTAAACTATTTTTTTCTATTCAGCGGCGACATTATATATAAAATAATGAAATACAACACTGCGACAAGGTAGAAGTAAACAAAAAAAAAACTTAAATCAGAGCCCTGCCCTGTCTCTCTTTACATTTATCGATTATCCAAGTTAGGGCATGGCAACAGACATATTTACCCATTTTCGGCATGTTGACCACTGTCAAAGGGCAACAGAATTTCTTTTTCAACACCAGGTGAAAATCAATGCGCGTCTATGTCATCCATGAAAATTACTTTCTGTGGCCTAATATTACAAAAGATCCCACTGTAAGATTAATCTGTATTACCATACGAGCCTTATTAGACTAATATACAAGTATCAAAGATTTATGCGATTTTAAGAAAGAAACAGGGAATATTTTCAGACAAAAATCAATATTAGGATTAGACTGAATTATGTAATTGGTAAGCAACACCCGTCCCTATTTTCTTTGTCTATATGACATATCATATCAGAGAAGTTTATTGCAAATCCATGCCCGAAGGCTAATTGCAAGTTACAATCATAAAAGATCTCTGAAACAGAGTATAAAAGAACTTTAAAATGTACATAATGAAATCTAATTGTCTAAAACTATTGTATTTCTAAAACTATGTCTAAAGGGTTTGACTTCTCTTTCGTAAACAATGGAAGACGTAATGTCCCAGCTTTTCTAAAATTTGTGGGTTTTGTGAAGCTAATATAGTTTTTTGTCTGCAAATTTTGGGAAGTTTGGATAAAATGTAGACGTTTAAATAGTCAACTCATTTCGAGCATTGTCATGTAACTAACAGAGATAAAATGTATTTCGTCTTCCACATCCTTTGTACTGTATAAGTATATTATTTACCGTTCACAGTGGGTGACTAGACTAAATCGTTATCTACCTTAGACGGCAGAATAGATAGGGTATTACACCACCCGACACTGGAGATTTAGTACCAACCTTCACTAGGGACTGTCTAGTGTTGCAGATTGTTTTTGTCATTGTCAAGTACGAAAGTTTTTACTAGATTGAATATACCAATTGTAGCGGTGCAAAACATTCATCTTTTACACTATTTTAGGAAAGCAATATAATGAGGTGTGTCATTTTGGTTCTAGGTGTCTAATTATAATGTTTGTACTGTTGTGATAAGCAGAAGGTATTATTGTGAAGAGACGTGTAAGTATTATGAAATAATGATGAAGTTTCGTGCAAATGTGTAAGTAAATTTGTTAAAACAGAAACATTATCAGTCACCTCTCTACAGTTGAGATATAATTAGAAAATGCATATTAAAACGTATCTTTTACTTAACACGTTTAAGTTAAGTCATAAAGATCAAGAATTCTAACCGATTTTTCTTACATCATCATAATCTAGCACAAGGCATTGCGTGTTGCCCTCTATGCCTGATGCAGTAGTTAGCAGAGTCTTAAGCTTGTCGTGCCACAAGTTCTGATCCACCCAATAATTATGAACGTAAACTTACACGTTAAAAGTTATAACGGCCATTGTGAGCCGCATGTCTCGTTTTTTAGGGATAGGTTTATCCTGCTTAAAATTGAAAAAAAAACAGTATAAAATATATAAACAGATATAGAATTAAGCTCTATGTCCGTACCTGCGAAGGTTCAGTAGATGCTTTTGTAGTTAACACCACCCGAGAGCCACTCTAAACACTTGTCAGTTTCCCTTCTCTGGCTGCAATGAAAAGCAGACTGCAATACAATAGATTATGGCTACTGAAACCCAGCTAGACACATTTATCATTCTTATCTCTTCCTCCATACTTTATCAATTAAACATATACATAAGCCGTGGTAACACAATCATTCGAATAAAGATCACAATCATTCGAATTGTTTAAGCGCATGATTCATGCAAATTCATGCTAATTAGAAAACTGTGGGTCCTGATGTAAACCCAAAGAAATGTAGTCTAGCCTCACATCATCATGTCAAGTTTGGATTGGTATTCACGCCAAATCGTCTTTGGTACACTGCACACAAGTAATCTGCTTTTAATCTTTGTCCAGAGGGTCGGAGTGATAGAAGTAAAAGTACGAAGGTGAAGAGAGAACGGCCTGATTCTGTCAAATCCTTTCAGCATGACGGGAATACTGTCAGCTTTATCCCAAACTTTGTCATTAAAAGTTCTACCGAGTTTCCATCAGCGTTATCAGGTGTTTTGAACCGTGAAAAGTCATATCACCGTGTCCTGTCCATACAGATTTAAATTGATGAGCGATTACTACAGGTTATGCTGCAATTTGTACAGGTGAAGCATAGATGCATTTTCCTATGCCGGTAACGTATGGCTTTCATAAAGCCAGACTACGTCATTTCCGTGAGGGTGCCTCCTGTGGGCTTTGCTGGCCCGCCGGCCATTTCATTTTCAATTTTCACGTTGCAGACGGATGGCCGGGATCATCTGGAGCATAAATCCCGTTTGTCCCCATCTTCTGACATCCTTTGAAGTTATGGAAGAGTCGGCAATTTTCTCAGTTTTACCTTGAGAAAGGACAACCCTCAAGGATACTAGTACTTTATTTTTTTGTTTTGAACATGATTACTCTTTTAGCCTGGCGGTCATTTTAATCATTATGTAATAACTTTATTTCGTAACAGTTGTACAGGGTACAAAGTATGGCATCTACTAACTTAAGTAAGTCATATCTACTACATTTTCATAAGACTAACCTAACTAATACAAAAGTGGGTGGCTAGTATGAGGTAGGTATCAACTTACACAACGTTGGAGGAGTTTCATATTATGTTACAGACTGATGGATCACCAAGTATACATGAATCACTTTGCTCTCTATATTCCAACTCATTCTTACAATCGAGGTTGTGTCAGTGACATTTTGTACAGATACTCTTGATCTGATGTAGTTGGCAACTTTTATCTTTTGGGGTAAAACGAGAAGGGAAACGACGAGTCATTTTCACTGTTGATAAAGCAAAAATATATAAATAGGACTGTTCTGTCACTAAAAAAATACAGAAACCCAAGACTTGCTTCTCTCGATTGTAATACTATATCAAATACCTAGTATGCTGACCCTTTTAGTCTAGTTTCAGTAATTAGGATGTTAATTTTAATTCATCTATGCCTCCTTCTTGTAGTATGTTTAACATTAAAAGTTGTTGCAATACGTTATAACGTGTTTAATTTTCGTACAATGAAGTTCTTATATAATGGTTTTGCATTGTTTTATGCGCAAGTAATAATGTCATTTCACATAATCCCATTATAATCATTCCTTCAACGTAGGAAACAAAGGGCTGCTACCAACCAACATCAAATTGCAATAAATTCGGGATCTAAATCATTAATTTAAAAAATGACAATATAAAAAGAGAATTTAAAAAAATGGGTTGACTGGTCAGAATTTAATTTCTGATGTACAAGAGTATATGTGTAAAGTTTGTGCATTTGTTTAACTTAGATCTCAATTAGTGTTACAATTCACATTATTCTTCATCGAGTCTGCAACTTAATAAGACACAAGGGCAAAAAGGGCCAAGGAGTACTTGATAGTTTAATAGCAGTTCGCAAATCTAACACATATGTACAATACATAAACTTACAATACAATATATTATATTAAACAGTATGTGCACATATTACACAATTACAGTGTCCATATTTTACAACCGCAACTTTTCTTTAGATGTTCATTACTTTCTTCGTACATCTTTCTACGACCTTAGGTTTGACAAAAGGACACATTCACATATTTTACTGACAACAGATAATTGTAACGTGATTTACATGTCGCTTATTTAACAACGAAATGTAGACAAAGAAGAAAGTACAATATGTTCTTTCCATTGTCGTACATTACCATCATTCAAAGTCAATACAGGTATTTGTGTTGTGTCTTACTTATACATGAGGAGCAGACGCGATGGTAGATATAGTAGCTGCAAGTAAAGGTCTCTGCTTGCTAGCTAGGTTAGGTAACTGTGATGATAAATAAAATCGCTAGCTGTCTCTTCTTTCAGGTCCCTTTTCTACTACTTTTGTCCAATCTCCATACCTTTACTCATAGATATCGTAGTGTGTCGGTCGCAGTTAGCACTAAACACGTACTTTACTGATGTCATATTTCTACTCCACGTTTCCTCTTCCTAGACCTACACACTAAACCTATTCACCGAAAATGCAGCTGTTTTCGCGTATGTCACATGGAGTGATCTGGTGAGTGTCGGCTGAAACTCTGCATTTTATCTTCTTTTTGAAGGCATCCCATGATGTATACTTGAGGTCAAAAGACAGATGTACTTTTCAAAGAGGTCAATGTAGGTTTGGGTTGATAGACTCTCGTCGTTGTCTGTTATTCATGAAGCTGGCACGACGTTCTTTTAGGGCCTGCAACTGTGAACGAAAGGGCAATCATTAGATACAACACAATTACGATATTTGAAGCTATTTTTAATGAGCTATTTCACAGTCTCAAGTGTACATGTGCGATCGTGACGCATTGTGATATATGCCAAAGTTTTTAAGATCCCACTTACCTTTTCCCAACACAATAGAATGTTTGAAAGAAACATGATAATCACCGAGACATAATGTAGAGCAGCAGCACGTTGTGAAAACATGTAAACAAGTGGGGATTTTTTTTTATTCATTCACATAGAAAAGGGTACAAGACATGGTGGTGCCGCACTCATGTGGAAAGCACTTATGTTTACGGCACCACTAGATAAATACATATAATAAAGAAAAAACAAACGCAACTTTAAAACACGCAAAACAGTAAATACAGGAAATTCAAAAGCGCAAGTCCGGTTCCCCACCCAATGATAAATGATGCCAAAATCTTTTAAAAACGTTCTGATGTGGTGATAAAGTTTTGGGTAAGTGATAATATATTGGTGTTAACAACTGATGAGAATGCGGGACTGCCACGGAGTAAAAGGTAAGTTTTCGCGTTGTCAGAAAGAGTTGGGATTGTGATCAGCGTAGGGATATCAAACTCTGGCTTACAATGGATCACGACTGCACGTGCACATTCAGAACTGTGACGAGGCGTATGAACTTTATTGTAAACTGTTCATAAAGGAAACACAGTAGTCATGTAACATGTATAAGAGACGGAAGGTGGCGCTGATGTACCATCATCTACATCTGTTCACCTTGTCTTCACCCTTGCAGAATCTGGTGTAGATGACCTGTACAGCAGTGATGATGATGGCCATGACCGCCGCTCCAGCCAGCAGGTAAAAGACGCCCAGGAATATATCCAGGCCTAACGCCGAGGCAGATTTGACGTTAGAAGACTGTCCGTCCAGAGGACAGCCATCTTTGGGCCACCAGCGATCTCGTAACTCACTCATCCGCCCACTCTCTTGTAGTTTCAGTATGCTAAAAAACAAGAATGGTAATACATCAATCTCTATTGTATATTATATTCCTGTCCAGATAGACTAAATGCACATGTGACCATATGAGGTCTAGGGCATGTAAGATATGGAGTACAGAACTTTACCAATGCTACATTCTCACGCTAAATACTAACATTATATCTATTGATAACACTGTGTACTATTGTTCATCTACTTACAATGTATAACCATTGTTTCTTGTCTCTTCTTGAAACACATAGAAGCATACTTGCGTACTATGTTAAATAACTAGATTTTTCGATGAAAGTTAGACACCCAGAATATATTTTACTCCTGCAAGTTACTCAAGATTTTTTTTTTCAAAATATATCCAGTTAAAACTGTTTTCTTGTGCATCACTAGATTTTATCTCAAACAAAATTTGGATGACCTGCGGGTATAAGTCAATGGTCAGTCATGACTTTTCCCCACATCGTCCCCTACTCCCTAGCTACCCTTGGTGAGAAAAACATCGTCAAAGTCGGCGTTTTTACGCCTCCAACAGGCAGATACCAGACCCCGAGAGACTGTGCACATTTTGGGGGGCTAAGCTGAATGTTTTCGGCGGCCTGAATCATAAGGGCCGGGCGGTTGTTTGCATGGGACATGCCTGCAGACGCTGACACTCAGATTAAATACATCATAACGACTTCACCATAAGTAGATTTATATTACATTCGATAGGATTACTGTTGATAGTACCACATTGCAACAGACATGACTCCTTTGCCCTCTGTGTCAGCCACTCGACGAGTCTTGAAGTGCTCACCATATTGCTGTGACGAACCGTGATTACTTCATAAGCAAGAGATAATGTGCAGGGATCGAAATTCATTTTTCGAACTGGGAACCTCAAAAGTTGTGGGCACAAAAAATGTTGGTGCATCATATAAGATGAAATAAGTAGAATGTCATAAAAACTAATTATGTTTCATTTCTAAAGGAAAGTGCTACAAAAATGATTTTATTTTTTTACACGTAGATGTTATGAATTTGCTGTAATAGCCGTGTACTACTTTACATTTAACACTTTACATACGTAACCTATGAAAATATTTAGGTACACTGGTGCACCCACGAAAAAAAATTGGGTGCACAGCTCCAAATACTGGGTGAACTAAGGTGTACATGCACCCAGTATTTCGAGCCCTGATGTGGCTGTGAGCGATAATGGACGTCGATGGGAAGTACACCCCAAGGGATATAAAATCATGTGGGTAACAGAAATGCAGGGACCGCGTCGTAATGTGGGCTCTGTGAGTGGTTTGAAAATCAATATATCTCAAGGACAAGTACTTAGTCTCTTACTCGTGATTTCTATAACAAAATTAAGGGAAAATTACATTTGTTCTAGTTGTGTCTGTCGCATTTACGGATTTGCTGAATGAGAGATGACATTTTTGTTTCCCTAGAAATATAAGAAGTGGTGAATCTAATTTACGAGTTTAGACACTATATGGTATCCATTTTCATGTTTCTTATAAAGGCATATTTCTTTTCAGACTATGATTTATAATTCATGGGTATCCCGAGGTAAATGCAAACTGGTGATGTGAAGAACATGTAAGTTTAGTGTTATGTAATTGGCTAATCCTACCACGTACTTTTTTAATTATCATGAGCTGTATAAAATTGCTCATGGACATATTAATATTCAAATGGACCAATACCTCAAACCTGCCCATAGGCGTACCAGAGGAAGTCATGAATATAAGTATCAAGCAATACCTGCCAAAACAGACTGTTTTAGATTTTCTTTTTTTCCAAGAACGATAAATGAGTGGAACAAGTTACCGGGCCAGCTTGTAAAAGCCCAGACAGTGGAGGCCTTCAAGGCCGGGCTTCTGGCCGCGCAGCCATAGTCCGTCGCACCCCCCACCCCTCTCAGTGATACCCCAGTAGGGGTGGTTAGAGAGTACTCAAGAAGAAGAAGAAGCTGTTTTTCAATTCATAAGTCCTGTCAAATATCGCCTTGTAAAATGCATGAAGTGAAGAGTCTGAAGTTGAGGTGCCCAATAGCTTTTCCAGGGAAAAAAGGCTAGGGTTGGCAGGTTTGTTAGGGTCGGTCGGAAAACAAAACAAAACAAACATTTTTCCCGGGCCAAACAGTTTTCTGACTGTCAGCAAAGTTGGTCACACGAGGCTTGCTTAACTTAGGGGCTATGCATACCCATGCATACTACAATCAAAAGTGAGTTTGTTTGAGCTGACCTGTAACACACGCTCATACATGTACGTGTCTGCTGCTCTCAACAGAAACATTTTGTGAATAGGTTACCTGATATCACCAACTGTGACTTTTAGAATAGTATTTTATCACATATCATGAGTTTTATACTCGGATTCTTGAATACTTGAATAATTAAAGGCGGATCTGTTAGCAATGACGCATTTCAGGTATTGATTTGATATGGTACCTGCAATGTCACTGGGAATAAAATCTGAATCTACTACAATCAAAACACACCCAACAGATAGCGGTTTCTTCAAGGGGCTTCCTCTGCCAGTAGCGAAGCCGTATCCCTTGAAGAGGAAGGGTTTTCCCAGGAGCATCAGGCCGCAGTTCTTATCAGTCCTGACGGCGTACTCCAGGAACGGGGTCTCCTCGATCAGGACGAACTCTTCGTTCCGCACCATTTCCACCCCGGCCATGCTGCTGATTGGGAATCTGTTGTTGGCTTTCATGGTGTACCACATGCGCTCGTACACGGAACCCGTACCTGAGGTTTAAAATTAAAAAATACCATATGTCAGAACACAGGCTCATATCTGGTAGAATACAGGTGGAGATCCCGATTGGAAAATCTTTCAACGAAAAGTCCAAATGCCGATTCCAAGCTGATGAATCTGTTGTTGGCCTTCATGGTGTACCACATGCGTTCGTACACGGACCCTGTACCTAAGAAAATACCATATGTCAGAATAATCATATCTGGTAGAATCAGTCATTTTACAGGTAGAATCGAGTCTAATCGAGTCTAATCGAGATCAAATTTGGAGTCAAGAAACTGCTGTTGGCCTTCATGGTGTACCACATGCGTTCGTACACGGACCCCGTACCTAATGAGATTAGAAGAATGCCGTATGTCAGAATACAGACTCATATCTGGTAAAATCAGTGATTGTACAGGTAAAGATTCCGGTCGCGGTCTCTGTCAACAGAAAGTCTAATCGAGATCACATTTGGAGTCAAGAAACTGCTGTTGGCCTTCATGGTGTACCACATGCGTTCGTACACGGACCCCGTACCTGATGAGATTAGAAGAATACCGTATGTCAAAATACAGACTCATATCTGGTAGAATCAGTGAGTGTACAGGTAAAGATTCCGGTCGCGGTCTCTGTCAACAGAAAGTCTAATCGAGATCACATTTGGAGTCGAGAAGCTGTTGTTGGCCTTTATGATTTCGTACACGGACCCCGTTCCTGAGATGAACAGAATACCGTATATTTTTAAAGATAAAACTTTAGATCCAACACACTAAAAAATCTCTCACCTAGAGCTTTCGACCAGTCACTCTGGTCTTCCTCAGTAGACTCACGCAGTGAGGTATCTGGTAGAAGTTGAGAAGTCTAGGTGAGAGATTTTTAATGTGTTTGATCTAAAGTTTTAACTTTAACTTTGACTTGACT